TCACAGGGTAATATTGACATAAGGTTTTCAGACCCTGTTTCCTAGAACATAGCCATACATGATATTACTACTGTTTTTAAGTTTGGCCCTAGATGCAAATTTGATTAGCCTTGAGAAACCAAAGTCCTGAAACTATCAGAAAAACCTGTTCTCAGGACTTCCCTGGTGATCCGGTGGTTAAGACTCAGCACTTCCACTGCGAGAGGCACAGGTTCAGTCCCTGGTCGGAGAACTAAGATCCCACATGCCACCTGGCACAGCCAAAAAGCTAAAATAGATAGATAAGTGTGTTCTTTGTCAGACATATCCGGGCCCAAGGCCTGGCTCCTCTACTTGCTACAGCTGTTGTGTCTTTAGATGAGTTGCATGATTTCCCAGGGCCACAGAATCCCCTTTTGACTAGTGGGGAACCCACTTCATTGCGTTGCCATTGAAGGTGAAATAAGATCACACATATAAGGTGCTGAGCACAGTCACTGGCATTTGGCAACCACCGGTTGGTGTTAACAAAATAAGACTTCGTGGTAGATGGAACCATGTGAATCATCGAATGTATCAACATTAACTTTTATCATCAGACAAGAAGCTATTAAATGTATCAGAACTATAATAAAAATGACAGAAAGGAATATGAGAATTTGAAAGAATTTAAGCATTTGGTTGACAATATATAAAATTGAATTACAACGATTCTAAAGGTCTTTAAACCAGCTGTGCTTTACCCTACTAATTCACTATGCCTTCCCTGGCAATAACTTTACCTAGTAATATTCTCTGTGCTGTGATAAAAACCAATGATAATAATTTATTGAGTATATTTTTGGTATCAGGCACTGTTCTAAGTGCTTTATGGATGCATTTAATCTTCACAACAATTCTAAAGTAGATACTGTTGTTACCATGTACATTTTAAAGCTAGGGAAACAGAGGCAGGCAGTCTGGCTCTAGAGCCCTCACTCTTGAGCTCTGTGATAAATATATATATCAAACTCTATACTCTATCAGAAGTTGACAGACTGTAGCCCAAGAACCGAATCTGCCCCCATGTCTCTTTTTATAAATAAAGTTTTATTGGAACACAGCCACACCTGTTCATTTCCATACTGTCCAGGGCTGCTTTGTACTACCATTGCTGACTTAAGTAGGTGCGACAGAGACCTTATGGCTCTCAAAGGCAAAAATATTTACTGTCTAGCCCTTTACAGAAAAAACTTTATGGAAATGGTAACCCTTGATATCAACTTTAAACTTCACTAAAAGACTGGGATTTGGAAGGGAAAGAAATAGTACCTTATTGTAATGATGCCCTGTATTTGGTTTCTATATACTGATCTCATTTAATTCTCATTACAGCCCTGTGAAGTAGGTAGTCTTTTTTTTTAAAGTTATTTATTTATTTTTGGTTGCGCTGGGTCTTCGTTGCTGCATAGAAGCTTTCTCTAGTTGTGGAAAGCTGGGCTATTCTCTAGTTGCAGCGTGCAGGCTTCTCATTGCAGCAGCTTCTCTTGTTGCAGAGCACAGGCTCTAGGCTCCCAGGCTTCAGTAGCTGTAGTGCACGGGCTTAGTTGCTCTGAGGCATGTGGGATCTTCCCAAACCAGGGGTCGAACCGGTATCCCCTACATTGGCAAGCAGATTCTTAACCGCTGGGCCACCAGGGAAGTCCCAGGTAGTCTTTTTTTTTTTTTTTTTTTTTTTTTTGTCCACTTCGGAAATGAAGAAACTGAGGTTCTGGGAGGTAAAATGACTTACCTCACAGATTAGACGGTAAACCCCCTGAGTCTAGGGATCGTGTGTCTTAATCCCCGTCACCTACCACAACACTAGAACAGAACTGACGTGCAGAAAACACTTGCTAAGTGATTGACAGATGCAAAGGTCACCCAGCTAGAGCATCCGGTCTCCTCCTATTCCAGGGCTCTCTCATGACCCCGAGGCTGCCTGGCAGTGAAAGGAAGGACTTTCTTTTGACACAGGGACAAACAGAGGGTGGCTGACATGTTATTCTTCTGCCAATTGACTGATTTTTGCTGCTCTATCTTGCTGCTCTTCCTTAGTCAAAGGGTTTCTCTTGTTCCCCTTCAAATGCACAGTCATAGCCTTGAGAATTTTTGTGTTCTTGGGGTTGGTGCAGTTTTAGACAAGACTGAAGCTGACACCCTGGTGAGATGGCAGTCACATGGAATGGGGCTTTTGGATGGATTTCAGGCAGAGTTCTGCCTACCCTCCTCCCACCCCGCCCCCGGCCCCACCTCCCACCCCGTGATGAGTCATGGCGCACAGCCGACTGCCCTTCCCAGAGCCGCCTCAAGACTGTTGTTTGCTTTCATCTTGCTTTGTGCTGGTCATGTGAGGCTCAGGGTATTAATAGACCGTGGTCTTGGCCTTCTGAGTCTTGTTGTTGGTCAGGGAGATAAATGGAAGTTTTGGCCAGTCCCTTTGTGCCATATTTTGCTCCTCTCTTGACTCACGTGTCGGTTGGTGACAGAGCTGAACTGGACGTACAGAGGACATCCAGTCTGGTCACCACCCCGAGGACGCAGCCTCTGCTTCTGTGTTCACTTCTTTCCCCTCTTCATGGGCATTTGGTCATTTCCTGACATCCAGCCTTGGATCCCCAGTACTGATCTTAGCAAACCAGCCTTTCTTTATCATCCTCCCCCAGGCCAAAGATGACATGTCTCCCGGCAAGTGTGAGAGAAACCCAAGCCAGGCAGGGAAGGATTGGGGGGTCTTGTTGTTATTGTTCAGTCACTGAGTCGTGTCTGCTCTTTATGACCCCATGGACTACAGCGCACCAGGCCTCCCTGTTCCTCACCACCTCCTGGAGTTCACCCAAGTTCATATCCATTGAGTGGGTGATGCCATCCAACCATCTCATCTTCTGCCGCCCTCTTCTCCTTTTGCCTTCAGTCTTTCCCAGGATCAGGGTCTTTTCTGATGAGTTGGCTCTTAGCATCAGGTGGCCCAAGTATATTTTTAACTTTGAGCAAAATTATTTTCAGGAAATTAAAAGTCTGTGCATGGTCGACTGGCTCCTAAGGAGCTTCATGGGGACAAAATTTTTAAACAAATGCCTTGGAAGCAGAGGTTCTTTGAATTGCCTGCGGCTTTGATCCAAAAGTTTCAGTTCTTCTCTACAGCCCAGTTTTTAAATGTCACTTTGCTAGTTCCCTCAGCCTGGATTCCAGCACCCAGCACAGTGTCGTACTTGGTGTTTACTGACCTGAAGTGAAGTTGGGCTGGGGCCTGGCCCAGGAGATGAAACTTCTTTGGAAAGTTTCCTAGGAGCAGAGACTCAAGCTTTAACATAAAGGGGAGTCTTGGTTCTCTAAATCTAATTGACTGGCTGTGAGACTAGTCGGTTTTCCTTTGCCTGGTGGGGTTCCGGGTGCAATTAATTACTTTCCCTTTATATCGACTCTTTTGTTCAATAACTGTGAAAGCATGAAGTGTGTTAAGAAGATCCTGCTGATCCCTTTCACTCTTTGTGGTGTAGTTGGTGAAGTTTAGTCTCTTGAGCCTCATTTTGCTCATTTGTTAACTGGGTTGAACTGTATGATCTCTAAAATCCCATTTCAGTCTAAATTTTCATTTTTTCAATGACAAAATTTTTGAGTTAAAAAAAAAATCTTGCCGTATCTGTAAGAATTTTGCTTTTGAGGGAAAGAATGATTATGCTAAGGGTGCACCAACTTAAATTATTATCTTTATTTCTTTTTGTTTAGTGATAACATGGGTGGTGGGAATGGACCATACTCCCGCAATATACCAACCAACCTCTATTTTCTACCTAATTTATGCCAAGTGCTCTGCTAAGGGCTTTATGTGTGTTTCCTCATTTAACACTCACACCAATCTTGAAGACTCTAAGTATTACAAGTACAGATGAAGAAACTTGGGGCACCAAGAAACTCAGGAAGTTTCTCAGAGTCACAGAGCTAATAAGTGGTCAAAGCAAGACTTGCACATAATTCTAAGAACTACAAGGATCCTAACTTCTAGGTAGAAAGATATATATACACTATACATCCCTGAAGGTCTCTCTTCCTGTTATTAGCTTCTTTCTTTTGGTCACTCTACAAGTTTTTATTAGAACTTGACTATGTCATATATTGTTTTTTTATCTTATATTGGAGTATAGCCAATTAGGGGGCTTCCCCTGTGGCTCAGTGGTAAAGAATCTGCTTGCAGTGCAAGAGCCGTAGGAGATGCGTGTTTAATCCCTGGGTCAGGACGATCCCCTGGAAAAGGGCAGGACAACCCACTCAGGTATTCCTGCCCAGAGAATCCCATCAACAGAGGAGCCTGCTGGGCTACGGTCCATAGAGTCACCAAAGAGTCAGACAGGACTGAAGCAACTTCGCACGCACGCACATAACCAATTAACAATGTTGTGATCGTTTCAGGTGGACACCAAGGGATTCAGTCATGTATTGGCATCTTTCTACAAAGAGTTAAGTGTGATGAAAGATTCTAATTAATGGACATGTTTATTGAGCACTGCATAAGCAGGAGATATCTGGATAAGAATTGCCACTTCCTTGAAAAGTGCACATCACTGCTGAACTTGAGCATTTAGGTGCCTTGAGAGCAGTCCCAGCCAATGGGGAGAAGTTCAAGTCAGGGTAGAAGTACTCCCTCTGGGAGTGATTATATAGAACTCCAACATCACAGGTCATGGGAGGTTTTGTTCCCCTTGGAGAACTTCAGCTTCGCTTGTTGAAGTAGGACAAGTAGAATGAATTAGCCCTGACTGAAGCCAAGCTCTTTATATTTAAAAGAAAAAAAGCAATTAAATATTCAGCCTGATGCCGAGGTTTTGAATTACCCCCATTTGTCTTTTACTCGGAGCATCTGCTTTTTATTGCACTGTGGCCCTGTCTGCCATTTATCTCTCCCCGTCAATCCGTGTCTACGTGTCACGTGACTCAAAAGTGAAGATTAGAGGAGAAAAACATCTCTGTAGTCTAAGCCTGGCAACTTCTATTTTTATCCACAGCTGTTGGAACTGATAGCGAAGTCACAGCTCACATCCCTGAGTGGCATTGCCCAGAAGAACTTCATGAACATTTTGGAAAAAGTGGTACTGAAAGGTGAGCTCTTTCCCACTCTCTCACCCCTTTTTATAGGCCTGGGGCTGGGCAGATGGATTTTCCAATGCAGTGGACATGTCACTGAATTAAGGGAATGTGAATGGATGGAAATAAATGACTCCAGATGCATTTCATGGGTGCCAGATTCCAGTTGAGAAAGGAGGGCCATTCGTGCTCAAGACAAAGGGTGAGACGATCACCATCTTGTCCTTGTATTGGAATCATCCATTTGTCCTGCTCTCTCCCTCTCAGGCTTCTCAGTGGAGGCACATGTCCCAACCTTGGCTACCAAACTTCTAGATTCCACATTCCTAGAAAAGTGAGCAGGGTGCAAGGCAGGATAGATTCACAGACTCTCTGAGCTAGAAAGAACTTGGCGTCTCTGGCTCAACTGACTCATTGTATACATGAGAGAAAGAGTGATTTATTCACAATCACGCAAAGAGGCAGCCAGACTGGGTATGAATCCAAGTTCCTGACCCCCAGACCCATGCCTTCTACCACTGGTCATCTGAAAGACACATCACTGCTGGGCAAGAGACACTGCTTTCAGATCAGGTGAGCCCGTGGTGCTGGCGGGACCAATGAAAAGAAAAACAGTCTTTGTAGAAAATGGAGAGAAGAGAACAAAGAGGGACCTAGATAATGGAAACTCTATCCCATACCCTCGAGTGCAGAAGCTTAGCCAAGTATAGAATAGACACCAGTGAGAAAGAAGACCATATCCCCCGTGGCTGTACCTGGGTAACACAAGCACAATAGAACAGAAGAAAGGACCACTTGTAAAATTATGGAGTGTTCTAGCCTCATAAACTCTTCCTACTGTTTTTCTTCCCCCACTCAAGTCCTTGAAGACCAGCAAAACATTAGACTAATAAGGGAACTCCTGCAGACGCTCTACACGTCCTTATGTACACTGGTCCAAAGAGTCGGCAAGTCTGTGCTGGTGGGGAACATCAACATGTGGGTGTATCGGATGGAGACAATCCTGCACTGGCAGCAACAGCTGAATAACATCCAAATCACCAGGGTAAGCGGGGACCCCCCAGCTTCCTCCCAGCAGGAACAATCCCTCTGCAGTCAGTTCATCTGCCAAGATGCTGGGCAGCCTCAATAGGACTTTAAACCCGCTCCAATGATGGAAGAGTCTAGACAGCTCTGCTCGGATGTTGTCTCTTGGGTGCTGAGGGTGGGCTGGGGGCTTTCTGATAAAGGGAGGGTGGGAAGAACTTGGCAGAGCAGGATCAAAGCACACGGAGGATGACGACCAATGGAAAGGTGGGAAAAACTGGAATTTGACCTTTAGGTCAGATGTGGGCTATACCAGTGAAATCTTCAGTGGGATCTGGAGATTTCTGCCCATTTCCTCTTAAAGTACAAGTTCGTTTATAGCTTTAAGATGCTGCCTGGATTGCAAAGGTGCTATGATGGTGGTGGCTTGGAGAACTGGTGCTACCAGCCTTTTAAAACTCTAGTTCCAGTTATTAACTGGAAGGAAAGGAAGCCTTTGAGTAAAGACTGTAAACATACAGGTGGGGAAAGAGATGGGCAAGTTTCACTCAAGGCAAACAGATAAACCAAAACCCCCCACATTTCCAGCTAAACTACTACCAGTAGTTTCTTCTGGCTTTTAAAACATAAGCTGGCCTCCTAGCACTTGTCCTCTTGAGAGTGAGCAGAAGGACCAAGACATACGAAAAATGTGAGAAAGATGTTGTTGTAATCTCTCAAGGCTCCCTAATGGACACACACACTTAGGCCGCTCACATGGCACTTGGCTGACTTATCTCATCACTCACCACGGCTGTTTTAAGTGGTTCCGGGACCCAGGCTGATAAAGTTAGGGTCTGCCTTGTCTCTTGAGAATGAAACATAAAAAAAAAAAAAAAAACTTCTTTGACCTCTTTTAAGTGTTTCACTATATGAAGCTTGCAAAATGCAGTGTCCTTGACTTTACAGTTAATAACCTCTCTGTGCCTTGGGTTTTTTTAAACTCAGAAACAGAGGGAATAATTAGAAACCTCAGAGTTCTATGACTTCCTTAGAATTATGTAGGCTACACTACACACACACACATACACACACTACATAGATACCAGTGATACCTAATCAATGATATAAATGAGCAAATCCCATTAGTCTCAAGGGCATCTTCCCTCCAATAACTTGGAACACCCATTTAGATGGTCCCACTTGCCCAGAACTTGTCTCTGTTCTCTCTGTTTCCCTTACAGGAGCCGCCCCCTCCCTTGGCCACATCTGCCCACTTTCATGCATCTACTCTCCCCAAAGCCCTCCTTAGTTGATCTACAGACTCTCTTGGGAGGTACCCATTGTAGTTGCTATTACCCTTCATGGAGTGAGGGGCGAGGAGGGATCAGAGAAGCCCAGTGACTTTCCCAAGTAACACAGCAGTCAGGCCAGAGCTGAGGTCAGAACCCTGAGCTTCTTATTCCTAAAATGGCAAAGCTTTTTAGCATCAGTGGTTTCCAAAATTTTTTCAATCCAGCTTTCTTCCAACTATGTATTCAGTGATTCAGCTTTTTGCAAACCTTTTAAATCCAATGAAATCTCACACAGGATGGATCAGACCCTGAAATTCATCTGACTCTCCCCTCTGCTCATGGCACCCCAGCCAGCCCAAGCTATTCTCAGCTTGGTCCTACCTCAGGGCTTTGAGGATAGCTGCTGCTTCTGACCATCCAGTCTGTTGAAGCCTCTGTCATCTTACTGAGCCGCTTTTATGAACTGAGATTATCTCATACATATATTCACCTTCCTGTCTCATCCACTGGCTTATAAATGCCACAAAGAAAGGACAGTACCATCTAGTTCCCTGCTCTGTTTCCTGTCCCTGGACCAAAGCAGGTGGCAGTCAGTAGACATTAATTGAATGAATGAATGATTGAAGGCAACTCTCCTCCCTACACCTACCTAAAGAACTTGCTCAGTGTTCAGAAGAATACAGTTGCAAAATACTACCCTGTATTACAGATGAGGATGGAAATTTACTAACTGCAGGATAGGTAGGGAATAGGTATTGAACATCTCTGTGCCTCGCTTTTCTCGTTTGGGAAATAAGAGCAATCATGCCTATCTCATAGCCCTGGTATGAGAGTTAATAAGTTAGTATATAGAAAGCACTTAGAGCGGAGCCTGACATGTAGTACTGTAAACGCATCAGCTGTTATTACTGTTATGAGGGGCTCACTTGGTGGCACTCTTCAAAGTCCTCTAATGTATTAATGAACTCATCTAGTGACTAATTGTAAGGAGGGGTCATTATAAAAGCTAATATTAGCTGGCCACTGTGCTCAGTACTTCTAGGCATTGTCTCATGAGAAAAATCAGACTGAGTGGTTAAGAATAATCTGGCCGGGGCCTCCCCACCAGTAGGATATGGACTGAACCCAGGCCCGTCTGCAGAGGCTTAAGATACCCATCAGACTCTGCTCCCTCATGCCCTCCTTCCCAACCCTCCATGGCTCTCAGCTACATTATTTTGACAGCAGTGCTGGGAACCCATGGAGCTCTGAAGTGCTTTTCACAGAAATGCCCACGTCTCCAGAGGAAAGAAAGACGAACAGAGAGAGAGAAAGTGGGGGTGGACAGAAAAAAAGTCAGTCACTCAGCTGTGTCCGACTCTGCAACCCCATGGACTGTAGCCCCCCCAGGCTCCTCTGTCCATGGGGTACTCCAGGCAAGAATACTGGAGTGGGTTGCCATTCCCTTCTCCAGAGGATCTTCCTGACCCAGGGATCAAACCCAGGTCTCCTGCGTTGCAGGCAGATTCTTTACCATCTGAGCCACCAGGGAAACCCAAGGGATTTAATTACTTCAGTGTGGACCGTATTTTAAAACTTTTTAACAGTTTGGACCAAAGAGAAGTATGTTATTACATGAAAATGTTAAGGTGACATTTACAGTCATTGTTTTCTGTTTGCCAAAGTTCTATCAGTATCTCCCCAGCACATAATCTTGTTTTCTTTCAGAATTTCCTATCTCATTCTATGGAGCCAATTTTTATTGGCAAAATAATTAATATAGTAAATAATAAAAGGGAGAAAAATGAAGAGAACTGGCTTGTGGTGGGCAGGGGGGTGGTGGGGGGAATCACACAGAATCACAGTGTGCTGTGAGCAAGGCAGAGTTTGGAAGCGTTGGAGGGCAGGGAAGGCAGGGTGAATATAAAAGGATTTTTAGCCAAACACTTGATAGGGGGAGCAAGAGTGACTTCTTTTTCTTTAATATGTTTATATTCAAATAGAAGAAGGTACGCAAGCAGTTAATCATTTATCAGGAGTAAAGGCTCAGCATGGGGTCTGGGCAAGGATTTTGGAAAAGTTCAGGTTTGAAAATTTGAGAGTGAATTTGCCAAGTGGACTTTAATAGGAGTTCATGTAATAATTGGCCTGGGAGTTTTAACCAAAAAAGTAGATGCTTTGAAGTGCTGGAAACAAAAAGAAAATCTCATGGCAGTTTTATTGGCTCATATGATCAGCCGCAGATGATAAATGACAAATAGGTCTAGGACCTTCTGCAGTCCAGCAAAGTCCTGAATTCTGCAAACAATTGAAAGTTCAGCCCAGCAGCCTGAACAATATAAATTGTCAAGTCAGAGACACTTCTGACGGGTTAGGAGGCTGATGCTACTCCAAGTCTGAGATGGTTGGAGCTGGAGGGGATCCTCAGAGACTTCTAAGCCTGCTCATTTTGGACACGAAGGAAGTATGAAAGGAAGTGTTAGTCGCCCAGTCGTGTCTGACCCTTTGCGACCCCATGGACTATAGCTTGCCAGGCTCCTCTGTCCATGGAATTCTCCAGGCCATGGAGTGGGTTGCCATTCCCTTCTCCAGGGGATCTTCCCCACCCAGGGATCGAACCTGTGTCTCCTGCATTGCAGGCAGTTTCTTTACCAGACGTACAGAATTTGAGACCCAGATTTCCCATGGGATCTTGATCTGCTGCTGCTCCATCCCATGTTCCTCCCACGCCACCTCCTGTTCTTCTCCATCATCCAATGTCCCAGGGCACCCTGTGACTGCCCACTTTCCCTCTCTACACCTGTCCTGCTTTGCAAAGACACGGCAGGGCACGGGAGGGGGGAATTGCTGACACTGTGTGTCCCCCTGGAATCTTGTGTGGTCCAGCCTTAACATGCCTCGTACAGAGTTTAGTTAGCTAAGATTTCAAGGGGGGGAACTCAATACCCATTCCCAGGATATTTTCCCCTGAGCTAAGGAAAGGTTTCTTCATCCTGTTTATTTGTGTTGTTGTTGTTTTTTTCCCTCTTGTGACCTCCAGAGGTGATAGAACACTGAGCTAAAAATGTCACTATTTCAAGTTCAAGAGCTCACCCAGGACTTGCATGGGAAGGACAAAGAACGGTCGTGGTCTCAAGCGATTTGTGCTGACTTCTTATCCAGATGGCAGAAGCTAGTTGCTGTTCAAGAAATAGCAACAAGCACTACTGAGGACCTTCTGTACAGATGGTTCCCATAGCACTTGTCTCCTTGGTGGCATTTAACTTTTGTTCTCCAATGATTTGCATATGTTTCTGGGTCTCTCGCCCTTGCAGCAACTCCAGCACCAGAAGAAGGTTTTTGTGCTAGACTAGTCTGCAAGGGTTACAAGCTTAGACCTTGGCTTCAAGGATCTCGGTCTGGATAGGCTAACATAAGCTCATCCAAGTTTAAACAATAAAGGGCTTAACTATAAATGCAAGGATATAATAGAAGAAGCTTCTGGAGGAGCTCATGATTAATTGCCAATGTGTTCTCCACAGATCAGTAGTTTTCAAAATGTTCCACGGAGCCTAAGGTTCAACAGAGATGCCTGAACGGATGGATCTTTAGGCTGAAAGATTCTTGACTAGCCCTTCCCAAAGTGTGCATACATGTGTACACACACACACTAGTACAGAGTCTTTCTACTGTGGTTGTTTTTACCTGTTTAATTATTACTTTATTTTCATTATTCCACAAATATTTATTGAGTGCCTACTATATCCTAGCACACTTCTAGACTCTTCTAGACATAGCAATGAAAAACCACAAAAATTTCTGCCTCTGTGGAGCTTATATCCTAGCAGGAATGTTCCATTAAGCTTTCTTTTGGAGATGGGTTCTAACAGAGGGGATTTCCTTGGTATTCCAGTGGGTAATACTCCACATTCCCAGTGGAGGGGGCTAGGGTTCAATCCTTGGTCAGGAGACTAAGATCCTGCATGCCCCTTGGTGCAGCCAAAAAAGACAATGGTATCTGAAAGAGATCATAGGAATTCTAGGAAGATGCAGTGCCTAAGACTTGAGGGAGACACAAAAGCAGTTTTCAGAGGAGGTGAGTTTGAACAGGGGCTCCCCAGGTGGCACTACTGGTTAAAAAACAAAACAAAACAAAACAAAACCTGCCAATGCAGGTAGACTTAAGAGACGCAGGTTTGATCCCTGGGTCAGGAAGATCCCCTGGAGGAGGAGGGCATGGCAACCCCCTGCAGTATTCTTGCCTGGAGAATCCCCATGAACAGAGGAGCCTAGTGGGCTACAGTCTACAGCGTTGCAAAGAACTGGACACGACTGAAGCGACTTAGCATGCATGAGTTTGAACTTGATCTGAGAAGAGTCACTTGTACATGAGCAGAGGCCTGGACAGAGTGACAGCCTTCTGGGCAGTGTTTGGGGACAGGGGGGAAGCCTGTTTTGGGGGATCGGTGGTCACAAGGAGACAGGCCATGAGAGCTGACGTTGGGGGTGCCCTGCCAGGGCAGTGAGTCCTTCAGGACTGTTGTAATTGAGTGAAGCGCAGGAATCCAACTCACGCTGATAGAATCTTTCCGCTTGGTGCTCGTGGTAAAGAACCCACCTGCCAAAGCAGGAGGCATTAAGAGATTCAGGTTCCATCCCTGGAGAAGGGTATGGCAACCCACTCCAGTATTCTTGCCTTGAGAATCTCATGGACAGAAGAGCCTGGTGAGCTACAGTCCTTAGAGTTTCAAAGAGGTAGATACAACTGAAGCAATTTAGCACTTCACAGTAAAAGTGTAAATCAGTGAAGGAAACTAAGAGGTACAAACCTCCAGTTATAAAACAAATGAGCCACTGGGGCTGTAATATACAATATAAGGAATATGGTCAATCATATTGTAATAGCTTTATATGGGCACACATGGTTACTAGACTTACTGGATGATCATTTCATAACATATGCAAATATCAAATCACTATTTAGTACACCTGAAACTAACAGGATAGTGTATGTCAACTACATTTCATTTTTTTTTTTTAAGCATCAAGTTTTGTGCAACTTAGGAAAATTTCTCTGGCACCATTGGCCGGAGCTGCTCCAGGCTGATCTTTGTGCGTCTCGGTCATGGGCCCTATCTTGTACTCAGGGCAGGGAGAATGGCTGCTCTGATCAGTAAACCAGCTTGAGGCTGGAGGACAAGGGGACAGCTGCATCCTTGGAGGGTGTTGCCTGGTGCCTAACTGCTCTCCGCCCTGCAACTTAACACCGTCCTTCTCCTCGCAGCCTGCCTTCAAAGGCCTCACCTTCACAGACCTGCCTTTGTGCTTACAACTGAATATCATGCAGAGGCTGAGCGACGGGCGAGACCTGGTCAGCCTGGGCCAGGTGGCCCCTGGCCTGCACGTGCTCAGCGAGGACCGGCTCTTATGGAAGAAGCTATGCCAGTACCACTTCTCCGAGAGGCAGGTCGGTGTGGCCCCACGGCTGTTCCTTCCTTCTCTCCCACTCTGCCCGCCACTCTGCCAAGCTTCCTTGGCATCTTTCTCAAACCCACCCTGGGAGGCTCCCTAGTTTGACTAGAAAGCAGTCCGAGGAGTTTCTAAATAATACTTGTGAGATTTCTTTTATGTAATTCAAGAAGGAAAAAAAAAAAAACCCTTATATTTTAACCCATTCTCATTTTACAACTTGCTCTGAAAACAATTCATAAAATTAGCAACAGCCCTTCTTTTCTATAACAAAGTAACTTACATTTTTATGACATTTTACAGCTAAAGGATTTTCCTGATGTTATTTCATTTTATGCTGATAACCCAGGGAAAGGTAGCCCCGGAGTTGGAAATGGCAACCCCACTCCAGTATTCTCACCTGGGAAACCCCACAGACAGAGGAGCCTGGCGGGCTGCAAGTCCATAGGGTTGCAGTGAGTCGGACACGATTGAGCGACTGAGCACATTATGCCCACTTTAAACAGGAGGGACTGAGGCCACCGTGGCTAAATGACATATCCAAATTAGTGGCATGCTCTCCAGGTGAGGAAAATGGCCTTGGATTTGAACTTGGGTCTTCGGACACCAGCTCTAGGCCTTTTTCCCCTCCGCACACTGCCTCAGATTTTTTTTCCCCCCAACTTCTTTATATAGAAGTGTGAGTTCAACAGAATCTGTTCATGAAGCCACTAATATTTAGATATAAAATAGAGCCACTGTGCCAAACAGTCACTGCATCTCCCTGGAAATAATCACTCAAGTCTGTAGCAGTGAAAAGATTGAAGTTGTTTATGGAGATCACCTAAACTTTCAACACCAGATGTCACCAACCACCTGTTTCTTTTAAAGACTGGTTAAAAGCTATTGTTTCTTTCACTGGGTAGAGATCAGAAGCTACATTTTTATATCTCTGCTACTTTTTCCCTGGCTATCATCAGGGTATAGATGAAAAAGGTGGGAAAAGAAGGCAGGAGCAGAACTTTTCAGAACAACTTTTATGTGTTTGATACTTAGATCCGCAAGCGATTAATCTTGTCCGACAAAGGACAGCTGGATTGGAAGAAGATGTATTTTAAACTTGTGCGATGCTACCCACGGAAAGAGCAGTATGGAGACACCCTTCAGCTCTGCAGACACTGCCACATTCTTTCCTGGAAGGTATGTGTCTCAGAGGTGGTAGCCACACACCCCCAAGCCCAGCCCCTAAGAGCCAATGACACCCGCACTGTGTTGCCAAATGCTTTCCTGCTCTTTCACTATTGTAGCCCCCAGGTGAAGGCGAAGGTAAGACTGATGCAGGCCCTGGGGAGACTTTCAAAGACTTTCATTTCCTTTACCCCATTGTGTCAGCTTTCCCTGAAGTGCCCTCAGATTCCCCCATCTCTCTGTGTACAGGTATACATATACATATAGCACTCTTTAGTTTTTGCATAATACAGGGCGTTCTTGAGAGAGGAATGTTGTTTTGAGGTTGGGCAATGCCAGGACTTCCCTGGCGGCTCAGTGGTAGAGAATCCATCTGCCAGTGCAGAAGACATGAGTTCGATCCCTGGGTCAGGAAAATCCTCTGGAGAAGGAACTGGAAACCCACTCCTGTATTCTTGCCTGGAGAATCCCATGAACAGAGAAGCCTGGTGGGCTACAGTCCATGGGGTCACAAAAGAGTCAGACATGACTGAGTGACTGAACAGCAGCAGCAGCAATTCCATAGGGTACCACAAGCCAATGGGATGCTGTGGAGAATGCCCACCTAACCATGATGTTCCTTTCCAGGGCACCGATCACCCGTGCACAGCCAATAACCCAGCGAGCTGTTCTGTTTCACTTTCACCCCAGGACTTTATCAACTTGTTCAAGTTCTGAATCCCAGCACATGACAGCACTTCAGAAGGGTTCCCCTGATGATTGGATGGTTGGGAATCCAGAGTTTGGACACTTGATTTGTAAATAGTGTACATGTTAAACATTGGCTCAAAACTTCTGAGATAGGGGACACTGAAGGGGAGAGATACAGCTGCTGGCTGGAAGTTTAAGCATATGGACTTCTCATTAGAATTGGTATGGAAAACAGAAATCCTGTAAATGAACTTTTTTTCCTAACGATTTGCCAGCAAGACTATAAGGCAGGAATTCTATTTCATCGGTGAAAATGGAATTCTCCTGAAGTTCACTGCAACTCCTTGATAGTTCCCTAGAGTTGTGGAAGAGAGGGCAAAACTCAAATACAAAATAGAACGCTCTTTGTTTACAATGTGAAAATGTATTGGGGAAAAAAAATTAAGAAGAAAAACTACATGTGAGAAACCCCTGGGCTTTGGGTTTTGATTTGGGGTTTGTTTGGCAAAGGCAATGGAAACACCACTCATCTTAAACCCACATGGGTATAGATAGGGCCTTATCTTCCGAAGACACCGCACAATAGTCTACCTCGGAAAGCTGCAACGCTCGCTCTGACAAACCGCATGGTCCAGTAGACGGTCTCTGTCTGTTTTGTGTCTTCATCAAAAGTGATTTGAAACAGGAAGAGAGATTGGAGGCATCCTTCCTCATGCTTCAGGCTTCCCTTTTAGACGAATGGGAGACTCTTTGGGGTTTCTTCTCTTTGAGAACAAACCCCAAAGCACCTATGCCTTTTTCCCTTTCACGTTGTAGCTTATGTCGTGCAACATAAGGCCAATTAAAAGCAGTCCCAGAGGAAATCCTGCTGCAGGAAAAATGGAATGAGTCACCCAATAGCCATGAAGATTTTCTTATTCCTGTTTAACTTCTTGGCTTGTCTGGGCTTCCTAGGGTATCCTGATGGATAAGCCTGTCTCTGGGGACTGTTTGGAGCCAAAGGCCTGATAAAGACTTGTAGAACAGGTTTTACATATCAGCTGCTGTTCTTCTTGATGGGTGATGAGTTTTCTTTACATCCAGCCAAAATTTAGTCAACCTGAGCTAGGGCTTCTTATGAGGTTGATAAAGCCTGGTGTTCTCGACAGATAGGGAGGGGATGGAGGTACTTTGAGTTCAACTCCAGGGGAACTTGCTAGACAAATACCAACAGGTAGTTATATGTGGAAGAAGGGAATCTCAGGACTTAAGGAGTCAATATTCCTAGGAGGGAGTGGGGAATGTTTTTGTTTTTACCTTTTATAGAACTTTGCTTTTCTACAACAGTGTATATATTTTTGCAGTTGTATTTGCTTTCCTTTTTTTTTGTATGTAAAGTGGGCACCCTCCATGATCTTGGCCAATGAGTGAAGCAGAAATAGGAACTTGGTCCACATTTATGTTGAGCAACAGTATATTCTTAGGGATTGAATTGGGGGTGACCTGAAACGGGGAGAAATGGTTAAGAATGTACAGAAACAAGCTAAGGGACCAGCTAGTGATGAGGGACCCCTTCGTGCCCTTTCTCAAAGCACAACCCAAGTACCAGTATCTGGAAAAGAACTTGACCACTAGTTGATGTTCCTCACTGTGCAAGGCCTATGCCTATGGATTTCTCAATATCTTTTTTTCATCATCACCCCCCCTAAGAAGAAAAAGGTAAATTGTATTTTGATTTTGAGGGAAAGTAAATATTAAAGAATAAGATATTGGTTAAGGTTGAGCTCTGGAGGGTCACAAACCACTGTGACACCTAACAGGATCCTGCCCACCCCAGTCAAGGTCACATTGAGAATGCAGGTCCAGACTATGGAATCAAAGGCTCATCCTGCCCTAATTCAGGCAGTTTCTCTCCAAGGTCTCAGCCTCCTTAAAGATGTGAGTGGAGCTGAGATCGTTTTTGTGGTGAGGGCTCTGGAACCTTTGACTCTGGCAACTTGGGGCGTTCATAGCCTTTCACATCTTGCCCCCAACTCATGTTCTCAGCGCCTTCATGCCAATGGTGTAAACAGAGACTCCTCAGCACCTTCAGGTTCACATTTCCAGAAATGTCGCCTGCTTTGACTGTCAGCACGAAACTGGGGAACCAGTGTCACTTGGACTGTCCGAAGTGCTCAAGACCACACCACAGGCAGCAAGAACACCTACACAAAATGACCCTACCACAAGGGACAGGCTTACAGTTTTCTGAAATGTTTACCCAGATCGTGACTCCAAACTCTCCCCATCTCCTTTGACATCACTGGAGGTGGTGTGGACAGAGTCAAGGAAAATTTTTAAGGAAAAAAAAAAAGAAACCAATACTTGTGATTCCCTTTCTTTGGAAGAGGAAAATAAGGAAAGAAATGGCAGGTGGCGAGGGAGAGGGGAAGGAATAGCAGTGAGGTGTCTTTGCTGCTGTGGTTTGTGCATGGGCGGGGGCGGCGGGGACAGAGAACAGCAGTGTGAGCATCTCTGCTGCTGACATGGGGTACCTCTGAAGTGTGGCCAGAGCTTCTCGTATAAGTAAAACCAGAAAGTTTAAAAGAAGATGCTTGTTCCCTGGGCACTGATTGTCTATAGAATTTCTATTGGCAAACCCTCCCAGGACAACCTGACCTAAAAAACAGAAAACAAAGAATCTCTGTCTCAGAACTTCTGGCCTAAAAAGCCAGAAGGGACATGCCAGTGGAAAATGCTGGAGAAGACAGAATGCTGTACTGTCTTTGCTGTACCTACCTATCCCCACCGCAGCTCTGGAAAGGAGGATTCAAGATTGATGTCGAATATGAGAGTACCAGAGAAGGAAAGAGTTTTTGTCCAGGACAGTAGAAGCTGATCCACGCGAGTGTAATGATTTGTTTCAATGCAAACATTTCTGAACAACAGTCCTCGAGTTTCTTGAGAAGAAGGCACAGCGTTTGAGGAAAGGAGAATATGTGAAGCTCACGTAGGACTCAATTTATAGCAAGATCCAGACATTTTATGACTCAACACTGTTACTTTTAGCAGATGGACCAGTCACGTGGGAGGGTGGTGGCAGAAACTACAATGTGAAAACAAATCCAGTTTTGAGATCAAAAGGGTCAGTTGTGAGATGACCTCTGTTTCGCCATGATCCATTTTATATTGAAGTAGATCAGAGGAGATATTTTAGATGGGCTGGATTTACACTGCAAAACTGTCAAGGCAAGAACGGGCTTTACTTAGCAACAATGAAGGAAGGTAACAAGTGTGATTACCTTATTGCCACAGTTCTCTCTTCAAAAACTGTTTGGGAGCTTGCAATTAACACAGGCTCCTTGTTTCCATTGTTTTTATGTGGGAGAAGAGAAGGGGCTTGGAATCTGATTTGTCTAAACAAGTGGTGTGATTTGCAAGAAGTTCAGTCATTTCAACAGTATATCATGCTTAGTGTTCAATACAATGTTTATCATAAAATATGCACCTGAGTTTATATATTTCTGCCAGGCTGTAGGGCAATTACGTCTTGCTATGCAAACACTATTTTATGTGTGAATTTTTTTAACTTTAATTTTATGTGTGAATTTTTTAAACTAAACTCTATCATCATTTTCCATGTTGACATCTGTTGTTTTTTGTGTTTTTTCGTTTTAATCTGTTTCCAACTCTCAGAGTCTGTGAACCATCCCTCTGACTGGATGCTGGCCTAAAATCCTATTAGTGTTTAAACAGACCTCAGAAACACCCTGAACCTCTAGGCAAATGCAGAGATGGGGCTCTTTGATATAGCTTGGGCCCTTGATGTCTTCAACAAACAAGATCGTAATTCCTTTCAACTCCACGTTTTCTGTAGACGCTTTCTCCTCTGTTTTGTTAAGGAGAGTCAAGTCTCGTGGTTTTCCAGAGGAAGGAAACTCCTCTGCTAGACTTTAGTGCTGGGAGGAAGGTTAGCGATGATGGAGTCTGGCATTCCTTCTGCCTTTCCAGATGAGGTAGTGGGTCCAGAATATTTGGGAGACATGCCTCAACCCAGCTGGTACTCAGCAGTGGTCCTGAGTATAAACCTGGGACTCTGTGAGCCTTGACTTCGTGCCCCCTACCGCAGCACCTTTTGTTGTGGCTGGACACGCGTGACACCAGAGCTGATTCCTCGCGAGACTTCCACATTGGTGGTCCAGTGTTAGGTGTCTGGCTGTTAACTCTTTAAAAACATTTGAAGTCCCTGATTCTTCCTGGAGAAGTTAAGGAGCCTCTTAATGTTTTTACAGAACTCTGACTCTACTGTGGGTACGGCATACTAGTGAGTACAACCTGCTTGCCGTAAAGTTAGCAGCCTGTGTTGACAAATTCATTTTTCCCTGGGTACTCAGATTTTAATTGTAGAGGTGCCCCCTGAGACAGATGACCACTGAGCACCTGGATTGCTTTCTAGAAACTAAGATTCTGATGGTAACCAAGCAGGTTTCCTCTCCCCTTAGACTAAGAGGTACATTTACCCCATCCCTTCCATCTCTCAGTCCTCTGGTACCTGCTGTGAGACCCGGTGAGCTTCTACCAGTGGAAGGTCACTCTCTGCTAAACCTCACAAGCAAAGGGGGATTAGTCCATGAGGCGGCAAGGAGCAAGGAACCAGGATATTCATGACTTTGTCTGCTAGACATTTTTCAAAGTATCCTTGAACTCAGCAAACAAAGTTTTCTGAGAGATCTCTCAAAATTCAGGCCCTGCTCCATTTGGCCAAAAATGGATGGCTGCTTCAAAACTCTGAACGGCTTGAGACTCCATCTGCTGCAACATTACTTCCGGAGTTTGAACATGACTTTTTCTGTCTTTGAGTATAGAAATGTTTAATTTAATTAATGATATACAAGGCTGTTAAACAGAAGGCGCCAAGCTGTGCTCTGCACTTGAGCACATTTGGCGCCATCTTTATTCTGCCGATACTGCCAATCATCCTGGCTAGAGGAGGTGTATGTGAAAGTCCACATCCTAAGCTTAGAAGCTTTCAAGTACTTTTTTAATGAAAAATGCTATAGGGGATTGAA